AACCCTACCTCATGGTAGTTGATACTCGTCATTAATGCGTACTTGCGACCATGAGAGGGAACTGATGTTTCCCAGTGGATTGGAACTGATTTGCGTTGCCCAACGTCACAATATAAGAGGTTATCACCGAGCTATTCGAACCATAACCGACTTCTCGTAGGAATCAGTTGTTTACAAATGATTGATCAGTGGAGTAGTGGCAGTGACCAATGTTGTGTTTGTCTGGACTTTTTGTGCTACTGTTTGAATTCTACCAATCAAGTGTGCAATAGTTGCTCATTGAATTTTGTGTAAAACTGCCAAACATTTGATTTGTGGTCTTACTGTTCTTTTTATCATTTACATTGTGTCCAGCCATTTTCGAAGCTGTCCGTTCACATCCTCCAGTGAGTAATGTCGACATGAAAATGTCTCCATATAATCAACCCATTGTTTCATCGAACACAGACAGTTCAAACAGTGGACGACGGTGTTGTAGTTAGAAACAAGGGAATAATCAAATAACAATTTGTTTCCATTTTGTATGAAGAGAATTGATTAATTATTTTTCTGTAAACTATTATTGTTAATAAATTGATTGATTGATATCAGTAAATCGACAACAAATCGATGGACAGAATGTTTATGATAAATGTAAATTAGTGGTGGTTGCTGTTGTCTTTCTTGTTTTTGACGTTAACGATTACTGATTCGGTCACCACTGTCTCTACTTATTCATTATTTATTTTGTGTGGATGAAATCATTTGCATTGACTTTTGTTTTGTGCACATTTTCACTTTTCACGTGTTCGTTTGTTTGTGCGTGTGTGTTTGTGAATTCAAAGGAGAGAATAAAGAAGTGAAGGCGAGTTGTTGTTGTTGTTGTAGTAGTAGTAATGGAGCAGTGTATCAAATGCTTTCCTTCCCTGCCCCTTCCATAGCAGTTTTAACTTATTTTACACCAGTGTAAAATGTGAATGAGCAAAGTGAACACTGAATCTTTGTTGTGTGCATCATATGAGAGAAGTGATTTGATACAGTCACGAATGATGACAATTGAGTAAGTTGTTAATGAGCTTAGTGGGAGACTACACTACAATGACATTGCAATCATCATCATCATCAGTACAATTTATTGTTTGTGCATGTGTACAGCTGTGTTTTTCCCAGTTCATTACTTAATTGATAACTTTCTAGTGAACTGTATAGTATCTCTTAACAAGAATAAATCTAACTGATGATTACATGCACATGCATACTGACTTATACAAGTACACACATTTTCACGGCACTATTCTTTTGTTCATTGTCTATCACTATTGTATTTTCACGAAATGAATACTTGTTTGTTTTGTTAATATGTGCAGAACAGATTGTTTTGTATGACGCTGTAAACTGTGTTTCTCCTTGCTGTGAATTTCATTTTATACTAACTGTATTGTTATTGAACTATGCCAGATGATAAATAAGCTGACACACTATATTTTTAGTGAAAATACTAGTAATAGATGAGAAGGAACTGGATCTTCAGTAGAAAGTCAATTTTTCCAGTTTTATCTCTTTTAAACAAAAACAAACAAACAAATTTGTATTATATGTATCATGATGTGAACTGTGTTTGCTAATGAACTAATTTTTCTCTTCTTATCAACATAAATTGATTTTTCTACCTAGAGTCGGTGTGTTTTGGAGTTTTTGCTGTTGTCATGTGGTGGGATAGAAGTTTTCGGCAATCGGATGTTAGTAAGCAGATTAAGGAAGAACTGCACAATTCATCCTAATGTGAAACTCAGTTTAGGTGTTTCGTTGTGATTTTGCTGCCTATGAATTCATTAGATAACTGTGCAGTGTTAAACACGGGAAGTGAATGTGCATAGGGTTCTTTTGATAGTGTTAGTGAGTCATGCGCAGAGCAGGACGTAACACGATTTTGTATTGGTGGAAGTTGTCACATCTCATGAGTATAGCGAGAAATCAGATTGACAGAAATGGTGTTAGTATGAATGGTAGTTGTGAAAGTGAAGTATGGAGAATGAGTGGCGAAAAATGCACCGATCAGTTGGATAAGATAGTATAAAATAATTTTGAAATTGAAGACCTCAGGGAAGACAGGGTGGATACGTCAGCATGATTGCTGCCAATTCTGAGTTATATCACCCGAAATGTGCGACCACTGGTCGTGGTTATCACGATGACTGAAGGCCGTTAGTGTACGTTTACCGATACAACTCTGTTCGGCAGTCAGTAACTCGGTGTATTGGTGCTACATTTCTGACGGTTCTTGCTACCTTGACTGACGTGCTGGTTGTGCTTTCCTCAATATCCGATGGCCTGATACCATCTGCAACAATCTACTGTGACAGATAACAAGCCAGCTTCCATTTGAAGAGGAAATTGTTAAATGATAATGGAGATGGATAGGACACGCACTGGGGAAATCACCAAACTGGATCATGAGGCAAGCACCCACATGGGATCTGGAAGGGAAGGGGAAAAGAGAAAGTTCAAATAACATACTTTGTCGAGAGCCGGCAGCGAATATCAAGAGAATGAAGAGCATTTGAAAATATCTGGATGGCTCAGGACAGGGTTGAATGGAGGTTGCTGGTGAATGGCCGATGCTCCCTCAGGAGAGATAATAGGCATGAGTAAGTAAATCTGATATAGTAATAACAGGAAATTGAGAACAAGAGGCATATATGTGCATCAATGTATTTGTGAGCGATAATCCGTGTGTCATGCGAAAACGGAAGATCCAAGGTCATAAGTTTTCAAGCAACTACATAACAGTCACTCGTAGCAAATGTACCAATTATAATAATCAATGAAAGAACTGCAGACACTGGTTGCAAAATAAGTCTGTCCTAACCATCTCCACGCGCCTAATGATATATCAATAAATTTCCAAACACGTATTCGAAACACTTTATTTCTGACTTCTGATTTGATTGGGCTGGTATACCCGGATTATAAGTGTTGTGTGCAATAACGTTGTGAATCTCCGAATGCCTGTAGTATCTTCAGAGGTAAAGAACAGAAAAATGGACATCGCTGAGCGATTGCTCAGGTACGTCCTCACTTTGTCTCTAAAATAATTGTCCTCATTTGGAATGTTCTACCCAACTAAGTGAACACAAGCCCCTCAGTGGAAAGCTGCATGGAGAGACCTGATAAATACGGACTCATACATGGATTACCAACTCCTACTTGGACTGGCCGTAATTGATATATATATGCAGACCTAACTACCACCATCACTACTATGTATCAACAGCTTATTCCTATCTTGCTTTGTTCACCGTTTTATTCGTACACTTCAATTTACTCACATTGTCTGGGTTACCAATCAGTTAACTTAATTATTTCTTCGTGAGACAACCGTCTTCTAGTTTCATTCGAGTTTCCTCTTTATTGTTTCTCACAATGCAACCAAACCAACTCATCGCTGGTACATTAATGATTATCGATTCCAGAAAACTTACACTCCTGAGTCAGATACGCTCACTCAGATTAACATATACATGAACCCACAAATAACTACGACAAATGACTAGAACTGTTATAGTCGAGTGGCTAGACTACAGCCCACTGTACATTCAAATTCAAATGGTTCAAATGGTTGTGGACGGAATAGAAGAAGCTTTCGCTTAACAGGCTTCTGTGTCTAGTAGCAGAGGATCACCAAATCCTCCAGGCAGGAACCTAGGTATGTTAACAATAAAAGAGGAAAAAGAAATTGGTAAATCACAGTATGATGTCTACATTCCGTTTTGCGATGTTGTGTCTCCAGTTTCTGGGTGTTACCCCTTAGGTTATTGTTCGAACTAAGCTTAAGAAGTGTTTAAGAGGATGTCCAGAAGTGTTAAGAATACTATAAGCCATTAATAAATCACCTCTAAGACGCCTATACTCTAATGGGTAGAGGTCTAGTGAATGGAGGTGCTCTTCGTAAGGTTTAAATTTGAGTCCTCGGACTGATTTCGCGGCTCGCCGTTGGATACGCTCCAAAGTGTCCTTATCCTTTTGGAGTGAGGAGGGATTACTATGTTTCAGTACTCTAAATGGGAATGGATAAAACTATTGAAGATTATATGGAAAGTTCTTCCGTCAAACTGGCAGAAAATGCCCTTTAGTGTTACCAGTGCGAGGTTCGCTCGCAAGGTATTTTTGTTACAGTTAGCATAAGACATTAAATCGTAGGGCACCGGGACTCAAATCTTTTTCGACTCGGGATGCTACTAGAGAGGAGTTTCTTAAGTTGTAACTGTAGTCTGCAACATGACGCAGATGGACTACTCTACACTTTGAAGTGCTAAAGATAAGTCCGTTATCGTCTGCCCAATTTTGAAGTCGAGTCAGATCCTCCTGAAGTGCCTGTATATCGTCTTGGTTGCTTATCTCTCTCCAAAGTTTCACGTCGTCGGCAAATAATAATAAGTCTGACGTTACCTGTTGAGGAAGATCATTTATGTAGATCAAGAAGAGAAGAAGCCCCAGTACTGAGCCCTGGGGGACCCCACTAGGACATTCCATAGCCTGAGATAAAGTGAAATTAACCCTAACCTTAAAGTGTCGATTTTTCAGGTATGAAGTAAGCCAATCGATTAAAGGTGGTCTGATACCTAGTCGTTTGAGCTTATTGATAAGACACAAATGGTTGGCCTTATCAAAAGCTTTTGAGAAAAATAGGTATATGATGTCAGCCTTTCCCTTGCGATCGAGAATGCTTGTCCATCTGTCCACCGCAGTCAGCAGGTTGGTTATACAAGAGTAGCCCTTCCTGGAATCATGCTGTTGGGGTGAGAAGTTTAAGGACAGTAGATAGTCGTTTACACCGTTGCACATCAGGGACCCCATGAGTTTTGAAGGTAATGACAGAAGAGCCACATTACCAGAGACTTGGAGCCGTAAAAAAATCACAAAGAGTGAGTGAAAAGAAATCGATTGGTTTATGCAAGTTCATCACAAAGATATTTGATTTGGGATAAGTGGTATGGTGAAACATTGGACACCGTCTTTTAATGCTTCACTACTTTAATTTACTGGTACAGTTTACACTATCAGGTTTTCGAGAGTTGACAATGTATGGAGGTTCTATGTCTGGTAAAGATGATGAGTACGATTATCTGTTTAAAGGTAACAAAAGATCTAGCAATTTATTTCAATTGAAAAGTTGTACTAATCGGAGATTCGGGTGTTGGGAAAAGTAACTTACTCTCACGTTTCACAAGAAACGAGTTTAATTTGGAAAGTAAAAGTACGATCGGTGTTGAGTTCGCTACAAAGTGAGTCTGTGAGAAATATTTATTGTGGCATTTAGGAGCGTGGAAATTGATGGAAGGACTATAAAGGCACAGATCTGGGATACTGCTGGTCAGGAACGTTATCGAGCTATAACAGCCGCGTGAGTTCACCACTTTTTATGTAGAGATTTCAGTGCTAGATCTAAGAAACTGGCAAATATGACCTTTTCATTTTCGAGTTACTGTTGTGATAGTACTTGGTCTTAATGACTGCACACAATACGTTGTAAAGATGATTGCGTCTGACAAAAACGCAGTTGTGCACCAATTGCTAAATGCAGCATTCTATCAAAGGATCTTGGCGTTATTCATTGTTTGGTAGTCTTAAAGTGCATGGGTATTCAAAGATTCGGGTCATTATATTTACTTATTTTAATTAACCTGAATAATAATAATAGTCATCCTGAACTTAGGACAATTTGTACCTGCAAGTGGAAAGTCATTCCATGTATTTTCATGTGCAGAACTGTGATATTTAAAGTTCATGTTTTGAAAGCAAGGCTTCAGAATGGTACTAAAAATGGGTAGTGGTTAACAGTGGAATGCTGGAATGGCGTTTCGTTTTGTTGATGTAGAAGATGAGACTCCAGTCCTGTACCATTCGCTTCAAACGCCAACGCTTTGTTCACTGAATTATTGAGTTCAGGTAGCCATGCAAGAAGACAACACGGATTGAATTAAACTTAGTTGCAGCCTACATAAAGAGGTTGTTGTGTTGAGTCACTCGTGTTCTCTGGTGGTATTGCTGAAAAGCAGGCTACTCTAAACCTATTTTCAGCAGATGTAAGTCAGTGTTCCATAACCTTGAAGTGATCTTATTCATATGAGTGGCTTTATTTCAGTTTTTAATAATCAACCACTTGATAAGAGAAGTTTCTGGACCTTATAGCGTTACCAAATTACGACTTGCTTCGTATCTTGAGATTTATTTTTCATATCAGTGTTTGGTAGCTTATCCACTTAATGTCTTAGTCGCCCTAAATCTTCAGTGAGTTTTATTTTTTGTCCACACGCTAGGTTAGCTTATATCTATAAATGGACATGTCTAGACAAATATCCTGCTTCGCTGTACGGACTTAAGATGATATTCCTGTGCGTCCTGGATTTGCTTAAAGTTTGTAAGTCTGTGAGATGGTAAATGTAATACGACTTAAACGTCTATCCACTTGGTGTCGGTTTTGAACTAAAGATGCCGCTCTATCCAATTTAGTAGAGTGGACAAAAGCAGTCATAGAGAGTTTCAAAATAGCTGTCGTAAGTGAATAACTCGAAATGGTTTAGTTTGGCTTAGTAACCATACTTGGGTTTCTAAACTTCCAGTCGTGATTTTTGCGAGAACCAGTGATACTACTGGATAGAACAAACTGTAGTGAGTGGGAGAGCGTTGAAACACGCTATTTGATGATAGAAGCTGAATATTCCAACTGATAAATTAGTCACGAGATATTTGTCATAATGTAATTACTAATAGATGGTTATTTATACCTTCTTACATGTAAACATCTCTTTCATAATGCTCGCTCTGATAAAACGTCAAACTGGTTTTATTAAATTCTCTACTTGTTGTCAATTTCGCCCAGTGTCCACATAGTTCCTTAGTTTTATGCGCCTTTAAATAAATAAATGTAAATATTCATGTATATTAGAGTAAAGCCTGGTGACGATCTAATTGAAAACAATTATTTGCTTACATGTGTTGTTCCAAACTGGTTTTTATTGGATTCTCTTATTTTTGTAAATTTCGCCCAGTGTCCACATAGTTCCTTAGTTTTGTGCCCCTTTAGTGTGCTTAGAGTCGGTGGTCAGTGAGTGAATGATTTTTTACTGATCTTTAGTTAACATTACGAAACTTGATGCCGGTAGAAACGAGTTGTCATTATTAGGATGAAAATCCTGATCTTCATTTCTTTCCAGCATTCTAGTCACATCACTCCGTCTGGCTAAGTAATTTCATACATACCATTGACCAAGCTATTTTACATATTGTAGTATGCAGGAGGTTATTTGGCATAGTATGTTCGAAACTGTTGACTGCGTTTTGGCTCACTCTCGTTGTTTAACTTGGAAGAAGTATTGATTCCACTAGGCATCATCAGATGTAAAGTATGACATATTTCAACGTTTTCTCTTGAAGCTATTACCGTGGTGCTGTTGGTGCGCTGTTGGTTTACGATATCACAAAAGAGAGACTTTCAACAATCTGGAACACTGGTTACTGGAGTTACGAGGCCATGCAGAACCAGATATCGTTATTATGTTGGTTGGTAATAAGTGTGACCTTAGGCATCTGCGAACTATATTGACGGAAGATGCGAAGCTTTGGGCTGAAAGACATGGACTATTCTTCATGGAAACGTCGGCTTTGGAATCCACCGGCGTTGAGAATGCTTTTTACTCGATTCTTAAAAGTTAGTTTTATATTTCAAATCATATGATGACTTAAGTTTTGATTGAGAAGATGAAGTTAACTGGGTAAAATAGATTTTGTTGTTTCGATGCTCTTTGGTTTATCATTTGCATAGATTACATTGGCTCACCACTGAACTGTAAATCTTTAAGGCTTTAATATTTAAGGAAGCTCGTTGGTTCGCATCAACAGACTACGTTTGAGGACGAATATTTTTCTAGGATGATAATGCTTCATCTTTGTTACCCCATCAAAGTATAGTATGAATCTGGTTGCAAGATGGTCTGTCTTCGTTTCTTAGGTTGTGAAAGTGAAGTATGGAGAATGAGTGGCGAAAAATGCACCGATCAGTTGGATAAGATAGTATAAAATAATTTTGAAATTGAAGACCTCAGGGAAGACAGGGTGGATACGTCAGCATGATTGCTGCCAATTCTGAGTTATATCACCCGAATGTGCGACCACTGGTCATGGTTATCACGATGACTGAAGGCCGTTAGTGTACGTCTACCGATACAACTCTGTTCGGCAGTCAGTAACTCGGTGTATTGGTGCTACATTTCTGACGGTTCTTGCTACCTTGACTGACGTGCTGGTTGTTCTTTCCTATCGTAATGAACCAATCGAGTTATACTGGCTGGAACAATCATTCCTCAAGTGCTACCATGCCAGAAATGGCGGTTGACGAGCGATAGGTCTAAAAGCAGCAAGGTCCGCGGGCAATGTCGTACTGTGGACTACACAGAGGTGTTACGGTTGTAAAGTGTTCCCTTTAAACAGCTAGCATATCAAAAATGATGCCTTCGCACAAAGGAAGTGTGGGGTTAGAAATGGCCGAGCCTAAGAGTGCACAGCTCATCTTATCATGGATTTCCTTCGCAGACGGTTAGGTTCCAAAATGTATTGAGCTAACATGGAAATTACCCATTAAAATGCCTTGTATGAGCGACATCAAACATCTGTCTTTTGAGCATTGCGGTTACGCCCTCAGGTCTCTAAGGTCATCCCTGATAATTTGCCCAGGACAGAGTTGGATGGAGAACGCTGGTGAGCGGACTATGCTCCTTCACGAGGAGTAACAGGCGAAAGTAAGTGATTGATAACTAACATTTGCTCACCATTATTCACATCATTGTAACCACGACTATACACTATAAGTAATATGGTTGATCACTTCATAAAATTCAATAGTCATCCACAAAATTCTCTTGGAAACAAATTCGTCATTGTGTAGATCATGTCAATATTATTAGAAAGAAGCACATACAATCACAATAGATGGTACATGTATACACACAAATAGTTTAGTATTATCTTTGTTGAGCACATCAACTAATTGACATGATCGATCGATCGATCGATCAACTAATCATTGGCACTATGATACATATGAAAATCGATTGAATTTATCGATCTTCCCCTTGAGTGATACCGACAACAACAACTACTACTACCATCAAGGTCATTACACCTGCCTTGTTTAACCAGAGTGTCAATCGAACCAGTGATGATCTTTCATGTCAATTAGAGTAATAACACTGTATACAGAAATCTAGTCCATATTCAATGGAGATGATCATTTCAGGTATTTGAATTATGCAGAAAATGTTGAATAAGAACAGAACATTAATGTAACCAGTAATGATGAAGTGAACTAATTCAGGACAGAATGAATTGGAGAGTATTTTATGAATTATTGATTGGTTGACATGATATTATGTAATATTAATTAAGTGATATATATATTTTGAAACTTCAATGCTGAAATTCACCTAAACCATAGTGTAATAGTATCTATCTAGTGGTGTAGTATGCTACTTATATCTGTTGACATAAGTAGTATGTGGTGTCAGTAGTTCTTTAATGATCTAATGATACAAATAATGTTAATACAGAAATATATTAATCAGAATATTTACGAGTAAGTGAATGCGACACCACGGCGTAGGCTAGTCCGTGACGCGTCTGGTCTAAGTTGGCTAACAGTTGCAAGGGATGTGTAGCACGGTATACCCAGTCGTTATCTGGTTTCGAAGCGTGACCGAGCGCCTTCAGTTAGGTGCGTACAGTGAAACTAATACGGCCATTATCAGATGTTGGAGACTTACAAAGCTATTTGTTTTGAGAATTTATTTACCGCTACATCGACGAATATGCTACTTTGGAAATTCGAAATTAATCCAAACATAAGGCACAATTCTCAGGATTCATTAACTATTAATTTGAATGAAGTCACGGCAACTAAGTGTACGCTTTGCTTATTGACTAAACATACTGAAATGAAACCAAAGATGTTTTATAATAGTGAAATAACAATTGGGATATTGTGGACAAACGTCATAAAATCTAATGGATATACAAATTAGTTGGTTAATCATGTATCCTTGTAAATTTTCAATGTTTCTACAACTTCACTCTCTCTGTGTGTCTCATAAACAATGAGAATAAATTCGCTTTAAATTCAAACATGACCTATTCTTATTCATAGAAGTTCATACCAAACTTAGTTTTGTTGTCATGTCGACGATAGAAACAAATGGTAAACAAAACTATTCTCTATGTGAAGAACAATGATGTTCAGTGTATGTGTAAATTAGTTGTTCATTTCAAAAGAAATAAATGAGTTGGTAACTGTATAAATGATTTTTGTGATGAGCTTCAAGTGAAAACTTCGCCATATGATATTCTTAGATT